GCATACATATGTATGTATGTTTCTTCGAACAAGAATTTTCATATAACTTAATACAATATAAACAATTTTCATATTTTTTTTAAATAGTCAAAACTATTAATATGAATTTTTTACATAGAATTTTATATTTTAGTCAAAAAGCTAAAATTTAATTAAAAGACGAGAAGACCCTATAAATCTTTATATTTAATATAATTTTAATTTTTTTGATGTATTTTATTTTAATTTTATTAATTATTTTGTTGGGGTGATGTTAAAATTTAATGAACTTTTAATTATTAAAAATCATTAATTTATGATTTATTGATCCGTTAATAACGATTATAAGATTAAGTTACTTTAGGGATAACAGCGTAATTTTTTTGGAGAGTTCTTATCGATAAAAAAGTTTGCGACCTCGATGTTGGATTAAGATATATTTTTAGGTGTAGCCGCTTAAATATTGAGTCTGTTCGACTTTTAAATTCTTACATGATCTGAGTTCAGACCGCCGTAAGCCAGGTTGGTTTCTATCTTTAATTTATTATAATATCTTAGTACGAAAGGACCAGGTATTAGAATAATTATATTTTAATTAAAGAATATAATTAATACATGGACACATTGACAAAAAAAACGTACAAATGCAATGCACTTGTTAACTTCAAGGTGTTTTCTTGAAAAGTTATTTTTGAGTTTTACGAACATTTATTTTATTTACATGGTTATTTTTATTTACATGGTCATTTTCCACTGCAATACTCGTATTATATGTAATTAATGGGGCATATTCATAGTCAAAATAAAGTCGACACTAAAGTTAGTTACAGATTTTTGACTTAATTTTCAATAGAATATCTGTAAAAAGCTGCAACTATGTAAGTTTAGAGTCGACTTTATTTCTCACGCATGCGCATACGGATGTATGTATGTACTTACAAATGCGCTACATATGTAAAAATGCACATACTCCAAAATCATATATACATTGGTAACGTTCCCCTCTATGTACTTATGTGTACATACATACCTAAACAACCTCGAAAATCATTTATTGATAAAGTTCTTACACATGCACATACTATAACATACATATAATAACTTCCTTCTTATTTGAGGTTCTCAAACTTTAACTTCAGAGTCGTCTTTATTTCGTCTACGAATATGCCCCAATAGTTTTCCAGTCAAATGAAAATGCATTTCCCACGCATATGTATGTAAACACATACTCCATTAATTGATAACATAAATACATACATGCAAATTAACTTTTGTTGAGCCCGGTATACGTTTTAAAAATAACTTAAAACGTATGTCTTGTTGCAAGACTGATACCAAACAATTGGTGTGTTGTTGCAAGACTGAATCCAAACTATTGGTGTGTTGTTGCAAGACTGAATCCGAACTATAGGTGTGTTGTTGCAAGACTGAATCCGAACTGAACTTCATTCAAAAAGAATCTTATTTATAGCTTAAAATTATGTTTACATGATTTTCAGTTATAATTTCCAATTAGTTCTTTTGGAATTTTGTTATTGAAGATATTAAGTTCCTTATTTATTCAGCTGCAGTTGTTTTGCAGAATCTTATTGATAACATAATTTATTATTGCGCAGTTGCAACTTATTTCTTAGTCAAAATATTTATTCAGCTGCAGTTGTTTTGCAGAATCTTATTGATAACATAATTTATTATTGCGCAGTTGCAACTTATTTCTTAGTCAAAATATTTATTCAGCTGCAGTTGTTTTGCAGAATCTTATTGATAACATAATTTATTATTGCGCAGTTGCAACTTATTTCTTAGTCAAAATATTTATTCAGCTGCAGTTGTTTTGCAGAATCTTTTAATAGCATAATTTATTAGTTTTGGAACTGCGCAGTTGCTTTGCAGTGGCAACTTTCGTTAAGCCATTGTTTACTCAGTTGGTTGCAGTAGGATATCAAATTACTTCTTCAATTAAATCAGTGTTATTCCATTGGTTTAATTAGATTTCCTCATATAAATCCAACCAACAATATGACCAACTGCATTATTGGAAATTTGTTTATATTTATAATTTAGTTGAAAGGCAATGGCTACTGTTAACTCCCCCCTTTCTTTAAAAGAATCGTCCCGATTCTTCAATTTGGTTTGTTAAATGATTTATTTCTATAGTGAGTTCGTGCAGCAATTCTTCTTGTTTTTTCGAATGTCTGCTGTTGAATCGTTAAGCGTTTTTAACGACCTTAAATAACGCGGTATGCAAGGATGCTCCCAATAATTTTGGATTAATAAAAAGGAAATGCGCAACACAAAATACGGTAGCTGATAAATTTTTATTAGCGTTTTCCTCGTGTAGGAATTGACAAATCTAAAATGAAAAGCGAACGAACAAACAAAGGCAATAGAATAAAAATCAGCAGTAAGTAATCGGTGCTGCCAGATTATCAACGTCCTCCGCCCGGTGAATGCTTCAGCCTTCAAACACATTATCTGAAATCGGCAGGAGGCATAGTTTCGCCAGCGCCCTTTTGTAGGTTCCCTGGGCGGTTTTTAAAAGCGCGACTCGAACTACACCGTCGTCACCAGGGATCGTTTCCAAGACTCTCGCCAAGGGCCACTTCAATGGGGGTTGATTTTCGTCCTTAATTAGGACCATAGCCCCAACGCGCAGATTCGGCGAGGAGCCATGCCACTTATGGCGTTGCTGAAGGAGAGTAAAATACTCCGTCTGCCATAACTTCCAAAATTGCTGCTGCATGTAGCACACTCTCTGCCATCGATTAAGGCGACCAATGTTTAAAGTAGTAACGTCGGGTTCTGCGATAGAAGTAAACTGTTCACCAATCAGGAAATGGGCTGGAGTCAGCACTTCGAGATCATCAGCATTTTCTGAAATGGGACATAATGGACGCGAATTTATGATTGCAGAAATTTGACATATTAGGGTTCGAAATTCCTCAAAATTTAATGTGGAGGAGCCAACGACACGTTTTAGGTGAAACTTCGTTAGTTTAATCGAGGCCTCCCAAAGGCCCCCAAAGTGCGGAGAGCGCGCAGGAATAAATTTCCAATCAATACCGTTGTTTAAGCAGTGATCGTGTATTTCCTTCATACGAGAGGCGTTTAGAAAAAGCGCCTCTAGTTCCTTTAACTCGTTTTTTGCACCGAGAAAGTTGGTCGCGTTGTCGGACCATATAGTTTGAGGGCTTCCACGCGTATAAACGAATCTTTTCAAGGCAGCTAGAAACGATTGTGTGGACAAATCTTTGACCAACTCGAGATGGATGGCCTTGGTTGTAAAGCATATAAACAGGCTAACGTAGCATTTTATTGGAGGGCGGTTTCGCACTTCAGATCGATAATGGAACGGCCCGCAGAAGTCCACTCCCGTAGTTAAAAATGTCCTACCCGGGTGCACTCTTTCTGATGGTAAACTTCCCATAATGTGCTTCATCAATTTAGGCTTGGCACGAAAACAGCGGATACATTTATCAACCACACGCGAAACGGTTTTTCTGCCCCCAATGGGCCAATATTGCAACCGTATAGATGCCAGTAATGATTGGGGCCCTGCGTGGAGCATTTGCTGATGAAAATGGTTGATTATTGAATCCGTTACCGGATGTCGCTTGGGTAAAATGATGGGGTGCTTCGCCTCAAACCTCAATGTGGAATGCTGCAGCCTGCCGCCAACTCGAATCAATCCATGCTGATCGATGAATGGATTTAGTGATCGAATGTCCGATGAACCTTCCACTTCCTTTCCGGCATCCAAAAGCCGATACTCCTTGTGTAGGCTTGCTCTCTGCATCATGCGAAGAATTAGAAAGGTTCCCTGCTGGATTTCCTTTGTGTTTAGTGGTCCAGAATATTTGGTACCGACAGGCCTCGAAAATCGATAGACGTACGCATAAACTCGTTGTAGCCTCTTAAACGTGTTAATAAACTTGC